GGGGTAACCAAACGAGGAGAGCAGTCACCCCCAGACGTACCACTCCCAGGCCCAGCTCCAGCAGCCTCAGCTCCAGAGTCCACAGCAGCAGGCTGCGGAGGTGGCGAAGACGGCCGAGGCGGGAAACCCGGGGGGTCTCCAAGCGAGGAGTGTGGCGAGTGGTCACCGTGTCGTCGGCGATGGCGTCACCCCCCTCAGCTGAGTCAGAGGAGTCCGAAGAGATCTCAACTGGCTCATCCAAGGGGGGTGGGTCCACCTGGGACACACCTGAGGGAGCAGGACCCTGTGGGGGAAGGGGGTCTACCGGGGGGGGGGACTGGTACCAGGAAGAGAGGCGCGAGGGGGACCGGGTGGGACGCGTGTGGGTGAAGTCGGTAGTAACGGACTACTCGTCGAAGGTGACGTCCTGAGAGGACAGAACACGACGCGAGGCAGAGTGGTAGAACTGCCAGGGTGGAGCGTCGGTGGGGAAGCCCAGGAAGAAACAGCGGAGAGTGCGAGGAGAGAGCTTGCTCGCTTTGGTATCGCGAACAAGGGAGAGCGCGCCCCAGACCCGAAACGACGACGCATCACCAGGCTGTCCCGTCCAACGGAGTGTGGGCGAGGTCTGTGGAGCAGAGACACGGGGCCAGAGGTTGAGCTGATGCGCGGCGTATCGGACCGCAAACGGCCACAGGAAATGGGGAGCAGCCGCATGGATCATGGAGGTACGAGCAACCTCCATGATCAGGCCAATGCGACGCTCAGCGATCCCATTTTTCTGCGGAGAGGCAGGAAGCGTGAACAACTGGGCGATGCCCTCATCCTGGCAGAACGTCTCAAGGACGCCAGAGGAGAACTCACCACCCCTGTCAGAGTGCAGACGCAGGACTGGGAAGTCCTGCTAAAAGCGCTCGTGCAGCTGGAGACGAGTAGCACGGATCCAGCGGATCAAAACACCGCTGACGTCCGCCTTGCGACGCAAGGGGAAGACTGTGGTGTAGCGTGTGTAGTCGTCAACAACCAGCAGGCAGTAGCGCTCCAGGTCCGTCCCACCGACTGGGGCCGGGCCCCACACGTCCAGGTGGAGAGTCTGCAGAGGAGCGGTGGTCGGAGGAAACTCGGAGGAGTGAGGAGCGGCGCGCTGCCGCCCCTTGACGCAAGGAAGGCACGGCGGCGCAAGTGAGCGCGGGAGGGGGGGCAGGGTCTTGGGGAGGCCAGAGACAAGGAGACGGGAGTGCATACTGCGCAGCGCTGAGTCTCGTGCGTGAGTACTCTGCACGAGCAAGACGCAGCTAACTGCCTCAACGCAGACGCCCAACTCGACGCAGCCACCTGACCTGACTCAGCCACCTGTGCAGACGCAGTGGTCAGTGTGTACAGACTAGACCCAGGCTGTCGAGTGAACGTAGCCCGGTGACGGCCAGTCCGGGAGCACGTACAGATCGCCACACGCTGCCCTCCAGGAATAAAGGTATCAACCCAGACATCCTGAATGGCAGCGTTGCTCACCAAGTTCGTCGAGAACGTGGGGAGGTGGAGACCTGACAGAGAGCCGGAGGGGACTGCTGGACAAGGGAGGACCGTGGAGGCTCTCGCAACTACTCGGCCCCCAGAGGGGTCAGCCAGTGAGACTAGGACAGGTGCTGTGAGTGGTGTGACTATGGTGCAATCACGAAAGAAGCAACCTGACGCGCCTGAGTCAAGCGTGAAAGTGTGCAAGACCTTAGCTGAGGCAGGACCTGTGGTAGGAGACACACTAGCACCTAGAGCGTTGGCAGACTCACGGGCACCTAGAGCTGCAGCAGACTCACTAGCACCTTGAGCGGCAGCAGACTCACTAGCACCTGGAGTAGCAGCAGACTCACTAGCACCAAGAGCAACAGTCTTAACAAAACGATAACCTCCACCACCAGGACGACCTCGCTGAATAACCCACTCACGAAGCTGCTGAGGGGTGGGGTTGTCCGGGAGAAGTAGTGCCCGCTGCTGTCCACCCCTGACCGCAGCAACTGCCGCGGAAGTGGCCATGACAGACAGTGACGGTCAGGAGTAGGTCCAGCACCTCCAGCTCCTACAGTACCAGCAGCACCTCCTGCACTCCCAGCAGCACCTCCACCAGCAGCAGCAGTAGCACGAGTAGCAGCAGCAGTAGTAGTAGTAGTATTATTATTATTATTATTATTATTATTATTATTATTATATATATATATTTTTCAGGAATAAGGGTTGCGCGCGGCGCACGGGCTGCAGGGGCGACGCGCGGCTCGGCAGGGCGGCGCGCGGGCTGCAGGGGCAGCGCCTACGGGCTGCAGGGGCGACGCGCAGCTCGGCAGGGCGGCGCGCGGGCTGTAGGGGCGGCGCGCGGGCTGTAGGGGCGGCGCGCGGCTCGGCAGGGCGGCGCCCAGGCTGCAGGGGCGACGCTCGGCTCGGCAGGGCGGCGCGCGGGCTGCAGGGGCAGCGCCCACGGGCTGCAGGGGCGACGCGCGGCTGTGCAGGGCGGCGTACGGGCTGCAGGGGCGACGCGCGGCTCTGCAGGGCGGCGTACGGGCTGCAGGGGCAGCGCCCACGGGCTGCAGGGGCAACGCGCGGCTCGGCAGGGTGGCGCGCGGGCTGCAGGGGCAGCTCCCACGGGCTGCAGGGGCAGCTCCCACGGGCTGCAGGGGCAGCTCCCACGGGCTGCAGGGGCGACGCGCGGCTCGGCAGGGCGGCGCGCGGGCTGCAGAGGCAGCGCCCACGGGCTGCAGGGGCGAACGCGCGGGCTGCAGGGGCAGCACGCGGGCCACAGGGGCAGGCACGGCTGCAGGGGCAGCACGAACGCAGGGGCAGGCACGGCTGCAGGTGCAGCACGGTCGCAGGGGCAGGCACGGCTGCAGGGGCAGCACGGTCGCAGGGGCGAGTACGGATGCAAGGGCAGCGCGGTCGCAGGGGCAGCACGCGGGCTGCAAGGGCAGCGCGGCTGCAGGGGCAGCGTAGGAAGAAAATTTTACGGTTAGGGCAGGGCGGAACGTTCGGTGGGCCCTAGGAACGATTCCGCTCTAATACCATGTTAGAATAAGCAGGAATGAATGATTGAACTAGGCAAGAGGTGAGTACAAGTAGAGGAAACCTAACCCTAAAGTGTTGTACTCACTAAGGAGTGACCTTACTGTAGCCTAGAGATACAATTGTAATCTGACATATATATCATAGTGACCTCTTGAACTGGCCTTGTGGCCGCTTGCTTGTGCTCGGAATTTGTGTGGTGTCCTTGAGATCCACCCTGAGCTTGCTTTGCTTCTTGTCTTGACTGGTCTTGTGACCGTTTGTCTGCCTTGCTTGTTTTGATGCCCCTCACTTAGCCTATGGGGGTGTGTCAAATGTTGATGTTTGTGATAGGCTGTAGTGAGGTGCTCCTTAGTGAGTACAAACATGTTAGGGTTTCCTAGTTGTACCCCAACTCCTTTCTAGTCAAGCATTCCGTTGTTCGCTAACTTTGAGATCCTGGCACGCTGCGTTGCGCCCGGGAGACACCGACCAGAGCACTGGGAGGCCGCTAAGAGGGTGATGCGCTACTTGTGTAGTACGTCGGACATGGGGCTCGTGCTTGGAGGACGGGCTCGAGTTGTCCTCACTGGCCACGCAGACGCTTCTTGGGTTGACGACTTGGCTACGCAGCGGTCGTCACAGGGTTACACTTTCAGCCTTGGCTCCGGCTCTGTTTCGTGGTGGTCTACCCGCTCGTCTTCTGTTCTCAGTTCCAGTTGTGAGGCTGAGATCTACGCAGGGGCCATGGCTGCACAGGAGTTACGCTGGCTCACCTACCTGCTGACCGACCTGGGAGAGTCGCCTCGTTCTCCTCCAGTTCTGTACATCGACAACAATGCCATGATTGCCTTGTGTCAGGAGCACAGACTGGAGCACATAATGAAGCACATCGCTCTGCGCTACTTCCTTGCTCGAGAGTTGCAGCAGCGTGGTCAGCTTCGTCTTGCTTACGTGGCCTCTTGGGCCAACACTGCTGATATCTTTACCAAGGCACTTCAGCCTTGTGATCATCAGCGTTTCTGTACTGTTCTAGGCCTTGTGCCTACTTGGCCTCACTTGCTCACTTCTTGACTTTGCTTGTACTGTGATCTGTATACATATACCTGCATGCTTACACTTGCTAGGTTGTGATCACTGTACTACTTGTTCTCCTTTATAAAACTCGGCATGTGAACTGGCCTTGTGGCCATTTCCTTCTGCTCAGAATGCGTGGTGACTTCGTGATCCACCCTGAGCTTGCTTTGCTTTCCTTGATTGGTCTTGTGACCGCTTGTTCTCCCCCACTTTGCCTATGGGGGTGTGTCAAACTTATATGCTGCTTATTGTGTAGGCTATAGTGGGGTAGCCCATATGGGGTACAACTCAATTAGGGTTTGCTACTTGTCTGGGCCCACGTTATCAGAGTAAATTACTCTGTTTCTCTGGAAATCAGAGTTATTTTTGAGAGGAACTCTGTACCTGCTGGGTTATGATTTTGGTAGTTGTGTTTTCTCTGATGTATCAGAGTTTAGGTATAGGTCACTCTGAGGCCCCTGGGTTTTTTTTTCTAAGGATAGTGTTTACTCTGTACAGAGGATACAGGCCCCCTAGCCGAACCCCCCCCCCCGCCCCGCCCCCCCTTTCCCCAATTACCGGGGTTTCCTTGAGTCGCCGAGCATATCATCAAGATTCGCTTCGTGTGTTGGCGGCATTTTGCGCGCTGATTGGTTGGAGTTGCATTTTTCCCAGCCAGCGCACATTGTTAGCCACATCCACTGTCCTTCGTCGGATGTGTGGTGGCAACACATCTGAACTTCTGTCAGGATCGAGGAATGATACAGCGCACGGAAGGTGTAAACGTGGGCGACGCGGCCAAGCCCTTCTAGTGCTCGGCTGGCTCACGGGGGGTGAAACCCTGTTTCTCCATCCATTTCCTCAATCCGTGATCAGGCACCTTGCGTACCCAGCATCACTACCACGCCTCAAGCCACCATTTTCCTGCAGCCTTGCCACAGATGGCTAACGACGCAGACAGCGCTGACACTGTTGCGCCTGATCCTGATCCCGGCCCGTCATGCAGCTCTCTCCCTATCACGGGCCTGGAGTTTCTGCGCGGCGTACATCGTGAGCACGAGCACGAAGGCGAGCAGCATGATGACGGTGGTGACGACTGGGGAGGCGACGATTGGTATCGTCGGGATGGACTGGATGACGATGAGCATTCCGATGGGGTCGAGGTGTGGGTGCGATCGCCACGCCAAGAAGATGAAGACCACGACGGACGGAACGAGGTGTGCGATGGATCGCACCACCCAAGCATCGCTGAACCGGCCGAGACAGCACCAACACAAGTCGTGGATACGTCTGTGCCAGACTCCACCGCCTCACAGACGCCGAAGAAGCGGCGCTTCACGCAGTCCGTGCTCGGGGTTGGAATGCAGCCCGTTAAGCCTGCACCGACTCCGCCGCCACCTGCCAAAAAAACACCACCTGTAGTCCGACTCACCGCACAGGAGAAGAAGGAGAAGGTGTATTTGAAGGCCCAGAAGAACTACACGGCGGACTGGCTTCCGCGGTTCCCATGGTTAATCCTTGATAAGTCGACTGACGGTTTTCCTTGTGTTCGCTGCAGTGTCTGTATAGAGCACGGGAAGGACGATGCGCGCTACGGCCGCAATGGGAAAGGAGGTCGGGACCTCCATATTGGGTCCTTTCGCTGGCACGAGGCGAGCGTGAAGCACGACGATGCCATGAAGAAGCAAATGGGACTGATGAAGAACATCGAGGAGCAGAAACGCGTCGACGACTTCGCGAAGGGCGATCCGGAGGGTGCGCGGATTTCACGGCTAATGCGGAGCATCGTGTTTGTGTGCAAGACGGACACCCCGATTCAGATGTACCCCAGGCTCGTGCAGTTTCTTGCTGAGGAGGGCGTCGCCGACATACCGCGACAGTCTTACGGCGTGTACATCACACAGTGAGTCTCACTTGATGTTGAACCCCGTACTCCTTGTTTCTTCATTTTTTCAATATGCACTAACAACGAACCATTGGTTGTGGCCAGGTACGGCTTTTCAGAAATGGTTAAGGCTTTAACCACTTTCCTGCACCGCGAGCAACTGCGACACGTGCACGCGTCGCCATACATTGGCATCATGTGCGACAAAAGCACAGACCGCGCTCGTGGCAAACACATGATTGTGTTTGTCACTTTCCTGAAGGACCGCGTGGTGGTAACGGAGTTCTTGACGCTCCTTACCGTCACTGAGTGTGATGCGGCCTCGCTGCATGCCGTTCTGCTCCAGCATCTGGAGACCATCGGCATCGACCTTCAGAAAATTGTTGGGATGTCAACAGACGGCGCCTCTGTCATGGTCGGATCGGAAACTGGGCTTGTGACGCGCCTTCGCATGCAGATTTCGCATCTCGTCGGGTGCCACTGCATCGCGCACAGGTGAGTTATTATTTCGTAATGATTTATGGTAATTCGAGACGGTAAATCATCTTTCTGAGTCTTTGTGATTTTCCTGTTAGTGGTTCACGTTTCCTTTTTTGCATCCCCCTTTTCCTTACCGTGCAGAGAATCGTTAGCTGTCAAGGATTCTGCTGAGGCATATCCAGACTTCAACATCGTGGACGATGCCATCAGGGCCCTCGGTGCGATCGTCGGGAAGTCAACTCCCTGGTACGAGCGGTTCAAGGAGTTGCAGCTGGTGTACCACAAGACAAATCTGGAGCACCAGGGGCTCCACAACGTGCGCTGGCTGTCACGGGGCGAGGCAGTGCTGCGGATGTGCCGGGTTCTTGGGGCGGCGATCTGCGTCTTCATCGAGTACGGGCACACGATAGCTAGCACCGTGCAAACCTTGAAGTTTCACTTCTGCATTTATTTTCTGGCAGACATCTTGGCCGAGCTCAACAATCTGAACCGGTTTTTCCAGAGGCGAAAGGTACAGTTATGCAGTATTATAGTGTCGCTGTTTCCCTCTTCTGCCCGGTGGTTTGCAAGTTTGTTTACTCTGTAATGTGAAATGATTATGTTTGGCTGTACTCAAACCCTCCCACCCTCCGCCCAGGTGGACGTCACCATCGTGACGCAGGAGGTGGACCGCACGGTGGCGTACATTCAACACCGCTACATCGACTACGAGAAGAAGTTCGGGGATGGCCTGAGCCATGTGCTGGTAAGTGGATGTGTGTGGGGCAGTAGTGATGGTAATGAAATGTGTATGGGGCAGCTGTGGTGAAGATGAGCTGTGTGAGGGGCTGAGTGGTTATAATGAGCTATGAACAGGGCTGGTGTGGTGGAAATGAGGTGTGTGTGGCTGGGATGGTGGTAGTGAGGGGTGTGTGGAGCAGAGTGGTGGTGAAGACGAGCTGTGTGAGGGGCTGGAGTGGTGATAATGAGCTATGAATGAGGCTGGAGTGGTGATAATGAGGTGTGTGTGGGGCAGTAATGGTGGTAATGAGCTATGTGAGGGGCTCAAGAGGTGGTAAGTGGATGTGTGTGGGGCAGTAGTGATGGTAATGAAATGTGTATGGGGCAGCTGTGGTGAAGATGAGCTGTGTGAGGGGCTGAGTGGTTATAATGAGCTATGAACAGGGCTGGTGTGGTGGAAATGAGGTGTGTGTGGCTGGGATGGTGGTAGTGAGGGGTGTGTGGAGCAGAGTGGTGGTGAAGACGAGCTGTGTGAGGGACTGGAGTGGTGATAATGAGTTTTGAATGGGGCTGGAGTGCTGGAAATGAGGTGTGTGTGTGACTGGAGTGGTGAAGATGAGCTATGTGTGGGGCAGAAATGGTGGTAATGAGCTATGTGAGGGGCTCAAGAGGTGGTAAGTGGATGTGTGTGGGGCAGTAGTGATGGTAATGAAATGTGTATGGGGCAGTTGTGGTGAAGATGAGCTGTGTGAGGGGCTGGAGTGGTGGTTATGAGCTGTGTGGGGGGCTGGAGTGGTGATATTGAGCTCTTTGGGGGCCTGACATTGTGGTAGTGAGCTGTGTGAGTGGCGGAAATGGTGTGACTGAAATGTGCGAGCAATTTGAGTGGGTGCAGGAGTGCTAAGCTCACCTCTTTGAGCAGGAGATCCGGGTAAGATATCTGCTACACGCTCCATGAAATCCGCTTCGGCGCGTGCACCATTGCATGCAAGTGTGACCACCAATGATGCCTGAGATGATGGTCGCAATCCATGCACTGGGTGGATGTCATATTGCCATAATTCTTCCACATCCGGCCAGACATCCACCCTCACCGGTCCTTCTATCATTTCCACTGCATCCCCACCCTCTTCCGGCCCATCCTGATGACGGCCCATGCCTCGACTATGTATCAGCGAAAGCATAACAGGTACATCCACTTTGTCCGCTGCCTCCTCATCATCCCGCTCCTCTAAGTCCCCCACACCTTGACCAGCTGCTTGCACGTTTGTGGCGCTCACGACCTGCTGCAATTCAGGATGTTCCCATTTTGCATCTGCCGGATCCACAAACCGGTATTCAATGCCAAGCTCAGAGCAAATGTCCTCGATCAATTTGTCTTTTCCATTGGACCCACCCACCTTGGCTGGGGCCTTCTTCTGCAACCACCCTCTTAGCTTCACGACCGTATGCATATGCAGGTCCTCTACAACCTTCGCCTTATCAATTTCGACCACTTCCCTCACACGATTTTGCAAGTCGTTTTCAAAGCTCTTGACCACAGATCGCCTTTTGTGCCACCAATCGTGCTGGTGTCCAATCCCTCTGTCCGCAGCCACGGTCCGAAAGGTACTACCCTCATCCGTAACAATACCAGCCACTTCAAACCCCACGTTCTTGAAGAAGTCCATGCCCAAATTGAAGGCAATGCTTTCTAGCCTAGGAGACGATGGATCATGGACATACTTCATCGCAGTCTCTGTGTGCAAAACTTTCCTACTCTCGGGATGAAGAAACGACACAGTGCAATACTCAGCCTCTCGAGCTTGTGAAAATCTGCCATCCGCACTAATGTATCCCACCCCTCCATCCCTCTTACTGAGGGTATCACGCACTAATGCCATAGATTCTTGGGCTGCACGAATGATGGCATTCCACAAACCCTTTTCACCTTGCAACAGTCGGTAAAATGTGCCTTTTCCAGGATTTGGCAGTCCAAGATTGCGACACACTTCCCACATCACTTGAAACCCTAACCCTCCGAGGGCAAACGCACCCACAAACTTTTGCATAAGTTGTATAGACTTTGGCCCCGTCCGGTTCCCATTATGATCGTTTTTTTTTTTCGGGCTTGTCCATATCTCCGTGTGGCTAGGGCACGTACTACAGTGCCAATACAGACCAAGAGAAGCCCATGAAGTTTTCCATGACACGAGGGACATGCTCCCGCCGCAGCCTTTTCTTGAGCAACTAATCCGCAGTGGTGCTAATGCTTCTAGCATGTGTCTTGGCTCCAAGAAACATACCATGTACGGTGACATGTCCGTGACGGCTGGAGCACGTGGCCACCCTCTCGGGACTGGAACTGGAGTATCCTTGAGGGGCCCATCCTGATGAGTATTCCTGGAGGGCCCACCGGCAGGGCGCAATGGGAGGGCACAATCCAGGTCGCAATGGGAGGGCACAAAGCAGGGCGCATTGGGAGGGCACAATCCAGGTCGCAATGGGAGAATACAAGGCAGGGCGCAATGGGAGGGCACAAGGCAGGGCGCAATGGGAGGGCACAAGGCAGGGCGCAATGGGAGGGCACAAGGCAGGGCGCAATGGGAGGGCACAAGGCGGGGCATATGGGGAGGGGGTGGAAAGGCGGAAGGGAGGGGAAGAGTAGGCGGGTGGAGTTGCTACAATGGGCCAGAATTGATTGCTGTGACACTGTGCAGGGACATGCTGGGCGTGTGAAGTGACATGCTGGGCGTGTGAAGTGACATGCTGGGCGTGTGACATACTCGCCAGGGCGGTGATGACTGCATGGTGCCAAAGGTGCGTGTGACTGCATGGTGCGCCAAAGGTGCGTGCGCTTGTGACTGCATGGTGCCAAAGGTGCGTGCGCATGGGGCTGCATGGTGCCACAGGTGCGTGCATGTGTCTGTATTCGTATGAGCTCATGCACGCGTGCGGGCATGTGTGGGTGTGTGAGTGCGCAGGCACGCTCGAATGTCTTCACTTCCCACCTATTCATTCAATACCACCCCTAGTTTTACACCTCATTCAACCAACGCTCTCTACGCACTGTCTCACCTTTGGGCTTGTTCTGGTACGCCGGCTGCATGGAGTACCGCGTGCTGTTGGATGCTTTCAGTGGTAACAATCGTGCATGGATGAGGCTGCAGGCTTGGAGCAACCCCCTCTGTTTCAGCTCCTGTTGATTGGGCAACCTCTGCGCACACGCCATGTATCAGAGTCATTAGGGTATACACGCACTTGCATTCTACGAGTATATGCGGACTCCAGTTCAGTTTCGGTTCATAAACAGTACAGCCTTCACAAACCCTCCGTCTGAAGCATGCTGCATGGTTGTATGACCAAAATAGCATACTCTTGTGCCAACGCCACGCTGTTGCTCACCTTGTCTCCGCACTCTCTCGAAGGCTTTACCCCTTCGGGCCCCACCCCAACCGTTTCCACGAACAGGGCGTATTTTCCCCTTCTTATCCTCTTTGTAGGGCGGGAAGTTGTAAACCAGTCCCTCGATTGGGCGATCAGCCTTCTCCATTATCCCAGTTACGGCGTTAATACCACTGTTTGCCCGTGCATCGAACTGGCGCCCGTATGCCTCAAGGTGAAGCTCTACCGTCGCCAATGCATCTCCCCCATATGTTCCTGCCACGGAACAACGGTGACAGTGAGTATATCCAAACCTTATTGGTTGGCTGCCAGTGCCGTTGTGATGCGCAAAACAATCAGAGTGCTCAACTATCACGGACACACGGCCATGCTAGGACTTGGTCACCAACTTTCCACCCTTACCTGCTTCTTTGGCAGCCCGCATCAGCCGTTTGTACGCTGTAGGGGCGTTCATCATGAAGTAGTAAAGAACATCAGCAGTTGTCGCTTCGGTCTTCGCCCCCATCAATGCCGACAACCCGCATCGTTGAAGGCATATGACTGGCCTCATATGCTTGGATATACCGTGAACCGCCTTGTCATGCTCGTCGCTAAGATTCGCTACAGTGGACCCTCCACTTGCAGATGCATCCGTTTTCCTTCCACGCCTGAAGGTTGGGTTTGGAAATGGTGTGTAGGTTTGCGCGGCATGGAATCGCTGGCTGGATATGCGTTACATGGGAGACCCCAACACCAAAAGACAATGACGGACAACTTGTATTTCATGCTGATGAGTGGGTGGTGTTGATGGTGCATGGCATGAGTGGGTGGTGTTGATGGCTCTGATGAGTGGGTGGTGTTGATGGTGCTGATGAGTGGGTGGTGTTGATGGTGCATGGCATGAGTGGGTGGTGTTGATGGCTCTGATGAGTGGGTGGTGTTGATGGTGCTGATGAGTGGGTGGTGTTGATGGTAACGGAGGGAGATTACTTGAGCGCTAGCAGGTATGTGTTCTAGTACTTGGCATTTGTCGTTGCGGGGGAAGTAGAGGCGACGGGAGGGGGAAGATGAGGCGACGAGAGGGGGAAATGGAGGCGACGGGAGGGGGAAGATGAGGCGACGGGAGGGGGAAGTTGAGGTGACGGGAGGGGGAAGATGAGGCGACGGGAGGGAGAAGTGGAGGCGACGGGAGGGGGAAGATGAGGCGACGGGAGGGGGAAGTGGAGGCGACGGGAGGGGGAAGATGAGGCGAGGGAGGGGGAAGTGGAGGCGACGGGAGGGGGAAGTGGAGGTGACGGGAGGGGGAAGTTGAGGTGACGGGAGGGGGAAGTGGAGGCGACGGGAGGGGGAAGTGGAGGCGACGGGAGGGGGAAGATGAGGCGACGGGAGGGGAAAGTGGAGGCGACGGGAGGGGGAAGATGAGGCGATGGGAGGGGGAAGTGGAGGCGACGGGAGGGGGAAGTGGAGGTGACGGGAGGGGGAAGTGGAGGCGACGGGAGGGGGGAGTGGAGGCGACGGGAGGGGGAAGTTGAGGTGACGGGAGGGGGAAGTGGAGGCGACGGGAGGGGGAAGATGAGGCGATGGGAGGGGGAAGTGGAGGCGACGGGAGGGGGAAGATGAGGCGATGGGAGGGTGAAGTGGAGGCGACGGGAGGGGGAAGTGGAGGTGACGGGAGGGGGAAGTTGAGGTGCCGGGAGGGGGAAGTGGAGGCGACGGGAGGGGGAAGTTGAGGTGACGGGAGGGGGAAGTGGAGGCGACGGGAGGGGGAAGATGAGGCGACGGGAGGGGGAAGTGGAGGTGACGGGAGGGGGAAGATGAGGCGATGGGAGGGAGAAGTGGAGGCGACGGGAGGGGGAAGTGGAGGTGACGGGAGGGGGAAGTTGAGGTGCCGGGAGGGGGAAGTGGAGGCGACGGGAGGGGGAAGTTGAGGTGACAGGAGGGGGAAGTGGAGGCGACAGGAGGGGGAAGTGGAGGCGACGGGAGGGGGAAGTGGAGGCGACGGGAGGGGGAAGTGGAGGCGACTGGAGGGGGAAGTGGAGGCGACGGGAGGTGGAAGTGAAGGCGACGGGAGGGTTCAAGTGTAGGCGACGGGAGGAGAAAGCGATGACGACGGGAGGGTGAATTGAAGATGGTGTATTGAAGATATTTATTTCAGTGTTTGATATTCCGCCGAATTCCGCTGCTTTCAGAATGCGCCAACGTTCGTGCCATGTCTACAGCTTTTAGATACCTTCGGGAAGCACCCTTGGAAGGTCGATGGGCCATATTCCCTATCTCGCCGTCCCGAATAAGGTGTTTCTGTTTGTTGATGAGGGTCGCCTGACGTTCTATCTCTCAAGCACAACCTTTGTTGCTGTCGTAATGCTAAGAATTTGACAGTTTTATCATACACTGCGCAAGTGTGCTTGCGCGTGCCGCCTACTTTAGTTGGCTGCTATATGCAGTAAGAACTAGTGGGCCTCATGGTTTGTTGTTGGAAACGCAGGTCGTGGTGTTGTGTGTGTGACAGTGCAAGAGCTGCGGAAGTGTTGTGTTGTGTGTTTTTGGGTCGCGATGTGTGGCTCGCCGTGCGACAATTTCTATTGGCTGGTTTCCTGTTGTTTGACTGGGAAGTTCGCTAAACAATTCGCGAATGCGCTCCCTGGGTGTGCCTTCTTTCGACTCCCAACTTTCGCTTTCACACCCCTCGCCACCCGTTGAACCCCATTGCCAAGTTTTTATAACTTGTGCAATTTGGGCTGCCGGCTTTAAGTGTGGTGTGTGTCTGTCAGGCAATTGAGATTTAGCCGCGCCTTTGCTACTTTATTCAGCATGATTCCAAGGCCACTCCAGATTTGTGTTCGGCATTCATCTATATTCTCGTATATGGCAACTGAACGTACAATTGAAGAAACATTGTACTGCCATGGACAGCGATTTGATTGAGAACCTGTGACCTGTCCCTTGTAACTGAGGGTAAGTACTGGAGACTATAGAACAGTGTGGTTGGGAATGGTTGTGGTTTTTGGCATCACTCTGCTGCCTTCTCCACAACAGCAGGAGCAGCCGCAGGCTCTGCTGGCTTCTCTGCTACGGGTCTGTAACGCACAGTAACACAAAGGACACAGTCACATTTATTGCACGACAAGTGAAACGGATTTGTACATCTGAAAACAGCTGACTGGCTCAGATGCCATTCCCCACATGCATGCAAGACAGGGGAGTAAGCCGGACAGGTGAGTAAGCCAGCAAGGCGTACGGTAAGTGGAACAGACATGCCAACAAGAGTGTTTGACAGAAAAACTGGCGGATTTTTCGACCTGAAGCATCTTGTAAGGGACTCTCGACATTGTTAGCAGAAGGCGGACTTACTCTGAGAGGGCCCATCGCGAGATCTGGATGAGTTGAACGGTCTCGTTGGCGGAATGGCAGGAATTGACTTTAGCGTCGACTAAAAACGTCACCTTGAAATTGTCATGAGGGAAGCGAACTCACTCTGAGAGGGCCCATCGCGAGAGCTGAATGAGTTGGACGGTCTCGTTGGCGGAGTGGCAGGAGAAGAGGAGGTAGTTGCGGGGCTGCACGCGCCAGGCGAAGCGCATGAACAGCGCGGAGTACACGCACATGACTGTTGTCGGAACAATTTAGGGCGAGAAGTTCGGGGGTTGGATGTGGGGAGGTGGAGGGAAGGGGGAAAAAGGGGGGAGAAGGGATGGAGAGGGATGAGACGATAAGTTTGGGACAAATTACTAGCCTACAATCCACCAGTGAAATTGTGCGTGAGCGTGTGTTGCCAACAATCCACCGCCACCCAGAATGCCCGCAACGTGATTTGCTACGAAGATTGGACGAGACGACGGAAAGAGCAGGAACCGATGGCTCATCACGGGCACTTGCTCTGACGGTACGGCCTAAAAAAACGAACATCCTAGTGAAAGAAATGGCGAAACTGGTGAGGGTAATGCGATCTTGAAGTCCACGTCTCCCATTTCTGTGTTCTCATCGAAATTTCTTCATGGCATTGTCGAGAACGAGGACCAGAGCCACTGTTTCCAACGCCTTGAGCCACCTGATTTCCGAAGCAAAGTATCACGAATATTTAGAACGAACAGGGTGGTCAACTATCCAAACAGACCTGAAGTCATTTTTGGCGAGATCATGTCGACCGGCTTTTGCATGTCCACTAGTCCCTGAATGCCAAAAACATCACGAAAAAAACAACAAACAGCACATGAAATACATTATCAAGAAGAATGCAGTAAGTGCAGACGTAACTGATAGTATTCAACCCTAAGGCCTGAATGCGCGTGGATCTCGTCCTTACCGCAATGACGAAGCCCCAGTTGGCCAAGGGACCCCAGAAGTGCGACGTCTTGGGACCGACTGGGCTGTTCCAGAAAGCCTTCGCCGCTGCTGATGCCATGGTGCCTTGTCAACTACCTTGTCCTGACAAACGTAAGGAACAGATACTCTCAGGTGCAACAAACTCCGCGAAGACCACCCAGCGATGACTCAACAGCGAGAAACACGCTGCTGAAACTGGTCCCTTCCTGGTTAGGACGGGATGGTGCTACTATGGGGTATAGGTACCTGAAGGATGGAATCTAGGACTAACATCCACCAACAAAAATCTACTCCCCTCAAAAGCAAGTAATGGAGGCTGCAAACCATTGGTTCTGTGGTGCTCAACACACAGATGGAGTGCCGTGGGTTTGAGAAGGGTGCTTTACGATGTGGTGTGGTTGAGGGAAGGAGGAGGGAAAAGTTTAGCGAAGGCTGTGATTGGTTGAACAGGGGACAAGTCTTGTTGCCCTAGGGTTGGCTCGTCAAGAAAAGATGCCCGGAGGACGGGGTTTTAACTTACCCGGAAAGGAAGGGCGTGCCGCGTCACTCTCCCAAAAGCCTGCTAAGAGTGCGTGATTCCAATCCGTGTGGAAAGTTGTGTTTGCCAATGTCTGGGTACCGTTTCAGAAGCACGGATAATAGCGGGAACGACTTACAATGAACAGAACCCCCTGGGTGTTTCCGGAACTGATTGTCGTCCACAGTCCACATCCTAGCCCCAAGAAACTGGACGCAACGCCAGCACAACACACAAGAAGCAAACTGCAGTTGCCACGTCCAGCAAATGGCAATGACGAAAACAGAGCTGCACCCCGAGATTGGGGGATCTTTACACTAGCAAGAGATCCACGTCAGAGCGCGTAACTGTCCTCGAACTAAGGGTACTTGATTATACAGAATTTGAGTGTTATGGCTTCAAACATAAATTATATATTTGCTACTACCGTAGTGTGCAATAGAATCAAGAAAGTACCATCAAACTCTATGTATTGAAGTAATGAAAGACAACGCAGTGCACCATCCATTGCATGAACTACATGCATTTCTACCATCTAGGCTTGGATTGTGCAGGTGGAGACCAATCCTATGACGCTAATGCCTATTGATGCCCACATGCATTGTTTAGTTTTTTGCTTGGAAGGTGTGACTTCGAGTGTGAAAACTGTTTCCTTAGCGTTCATCCGTTCGTAGTGCCTTCGTTATCTTCAGTAAAATGCAATGATCAGCAATGCTAACGGTACAGTGATGGCTGGCACTAGCAAGCTATGTGTACAAGGTAGGGAACACTTAGAACCATGCCTCTATTTTGTTCTTTCAAACTTGACAAGACCCACTGAAGTTCCGTATAGCAGGCTAGAGGAAGCAAACTCCACTAAAATGAACACAGTTCCGCGTACGTAAGAGCAGCATCGGACACAGCTTCTTATTTGGTTAATGAACCGCGGGCATTCCAGCTCGCAAATGGTGCGCGGATTCCTCGTGCTCAAACCATGCCATAGTTACATGGCTAGAGGGTTGTACCAGTCAAACACCCGAGGCTCTGCAGGCTGTCTCATTCCAGCGAAAGACCAATTGCCTGCAAGAAACACATCAGACAAGCACCCCATACAGATACGATGAGACAAGTTACATTGCTTGTCATCGAGCTGGGAACCCTGACTGAACGAACCAAAAGACAAAGTAGATTTACACAATGAGCAGCCAGCCGCGAGGAGCCAACTAGCGAAGAAATGGAATGTGAAGGTGTTTTAATAACTACACCCTGAAAATGTACCTGAGATTGCAGGAGCACTACGCGATGTAGGAGAGTGCTGCACGGTTGGAGACGGTTCTTGACGGATTCGCTTGATGGTGATGCTCTGAGTAATGCGAGGAACGTTGCCAGGAGCCTCTTTTGCCGCTACACTTGCATGGTGAGTACCCCGACAGAAATCTGCGCACATGCAAACAGTGACAGCACGACGTCAGCATCCGGGAAAAAAGCAGCAGGGAAAATCACAAGAAGATCTCATGCCGTTTTCATACATAAGACTCGACTTTCAGTAAGCATTCGGATGCATTCGGACTTAGAGAGGTTGTAATAGGGAGTAGAATGGTACCGTGAGAGTCCAGAGTGGAGCGTGGGGAGCTGGAACCGCTGTCATTTCGTTCTAGCGGAGTCGCAGGAGTTCCGCAGGACGACGCAGACAGCACTGGCATCTCCGCTCCACACAATTGCGCTCGGCCCTTCACATCTTGGAACATCCTGGCTAGCAGCCTCATATCTTGAACCATATGGGACCACGCGAAACAGGTAAGCGCCTCCGAACAGATCTGTACGAGAAAACAAGCCAGAAAAGACCAGGGAGTCCAGAGTTGAGTGTTTGCTCTCTGGAGATGCAAGTCCAGTTAGTTAGGTTGGTGAGAAGAGGTGTGAGTGGGAGGTTATGTGAGGTTATGTATCCATTCCTGGTTGGGGGAAAGACTGCAAGAGGCTATGGCACATGCCTTGTGTTTGCCTTAACACCCAACTCCACCTCTAATATGTCTACCGAATCAGTTTAAGAACCTCTCTGAAACGCTTACTTGGGTGGGAAGGGAAACGGCTGGAGTGGAGACATCTCGGGATTGTGAAATCAAGACCAGGAAAATCTGTCTGATGCGTGTGTGGCTGTGTGAGGTGGAAAGAGAATGTACCAATCAGAGGTGAGAGATATTCTCCAGCGTGATTCACCAGCAGCTGGCTGGAGGGCCAACGCCGCAAAAATTGTGAAGTCCACGTAGCTTTAGGGGTGGGATTCTGATGCGAGTGACGTGGCTCTATCCTAAGGGGGATTTTGGCGAATGGAAAGACGGAAAAAGAGCCACCTTCATGACTCTACTGCGCTGACAATGGAGCAAGCTGATGTGGCAGTGATGCGTTTTCAAAGCACACTTCTGTCGCCCTAAAGGGCGCTTAGCAGTTTCGTAGGAAATGCAAGGCTGATAAAAAACAGTAACGGTCCGCTGTGAGACATTTAGAGACTGAAAGAATATCAAAGCAAAGCAAAATGTAGACTTCGAGTGAATGGATCACCAAGGAGCAAACTTGCACCTTAGCTTTGGTTCTGAAACCTAACCTTGTAGTAAAATAGAATACTGAAGACATTTCATAAGGCAAACAAACTAGCATAAGTTTCCCCTCAAGCAGGCAACCTTTGTGCTACGCAAGTCTCATTCACAAATCACTTGGGTGCACTCTTGTTGGCATCCGATGCTTTTGGCGCCTCTTCCGGCGGGCTTAGGCTGCCGACGGAGGAGAGCTTGCCAAAGGCCTCTTTGGCATTCCCGAATTTATCGTCCACGAACTCCTTGGCCTTATCAAACACCGACTTGAGCTCCGCCTCTGGCGGCATCTGTTGGTCGACAAGGAGAAAGAGAAAAACAGGGGGTATTTGTGACAAGGCAGTTCTGATCCATCCGAGGTGAAACTATTCTACCTCCCTCCCCGCCCTCCATGCCCTGCCTGCCTGCCTGCCTGCCTGCCTGCCTGCCTGCTTTGTATACCCTGACCGCCCTGCCTTAGGTGCAACATGTTACAGCTCATGCGAGGCACCTTCAACTGACTATCAGTAAGGCGAGAAACATTTCAGAGTGCTCGCTCACCTTCACGACATCTGAGCCATACATGGCCGCTCGTGGATTTGCGGGATCCTGAGAAAAGAGGGCACCAGACGGGTAAAGGGACAAATCCAGGGACGTAAGAGTAAGTTCTGCGTTTCCAGATTCACCAAAGGTTAACAGAGACGGTTTCACTTGGTGACACAGAATGTACAATGGTGATGTACGTTCGTATAATCTGCTATCATCCGCTGTTTGACAGTTGGCAGGTAAGTTGCGGCAACATTCAGCCAGGTAAGTTGCAGCAACAGCCTTAGAAAACTGCAGTAAGAGAAAATGTAAAAGAACAAGCCTCCCATATACAATAGGGCATTGCTTTTGACAGTAGAAGGGACAAACCGTTCTGCTATAAGCCCCTCAACGCATGAATTTCAACTCCGCAAGGATATGCCCCCTGGATGAGTTACGAATACACATTGAGAAAGGTGGTTGCTTTCATGCCTTGCCAGCCCAGCTCACACCATGCATTGCCACAGCACAGCAATTACTATGACTTTGTGACCATAGGTGTATCCCGATACGCCCTTCAGTCTGATTTAGAGGCACCTCAAAGACTTACCATGACTTTGTAACCATAGTCGTAGCCCAACGCGCCCTTGAGCAACGGGTATTGTCTTAAGGCCACATTGCTTTTATGCCATGCATTCCCATCTCGTCACACCATGGATGGCAAGCAAGTACACGTAGAGCACTTACCATGACTTTGTAGCCGTAATCGTATCCAGACGCGCCCTTGAGCATGGGGTATTGTCTCAAGGCAGCGTTGCGAAGGGCCTTCTCATCCTGCTCATTGCGACACAAGACGCACACAATAAAAAAAGGCAGTAGACAAAACACAGGCGAGAAGGCATAGATGAGCTTCGATTTTACCTAAGAATAATAACCTGCTAGTAATGATGGTGCACCAGTCACTGCAACTGCAACCACACATGCAGCTATTGCTACAACTGCCACCCTTCAGATCAACTTGCTCTGATTCTCAATCCTAGGGCTGTGTCTCTATCTAAGCTAGTGCATCGCCTAGCTTACAGGCAGTCACCATTGTCTGTAATGCCAAGGGGTGTGTGGAGGGTGGTTTGTGGAGGGGGGTGTGTGGCATAGCAGGGGGGGGTGTGGCAGGGTGGTGGGTGTGTGGAGGGTGGTGTGTGGCAGGGTGGTGTGTGGGGGGTGGTGTGGCATGGTGGTGTGTGGGGGGATGTGTGTGGCAGGGGGGGCGTGGGGCAGGGAAATGTGTGGTAGGGTGTGTGTGTGTCAGGAAGATATGTGGCGCGTTAATCACTTCTCTCTACACAGCAAGCCTAGCCCTACTTCGCTTCAACTTATAGCGAGTTTGTGTACCCTAAATCAGCTTCTTGCCCATCTCTTACCGAATTTGAACCTAATTAAACGCATTAACCTCCCTCTTCTCCCAGCCCACCTTATACACCACTGCAGCGATGTTGCGTGTGAGAGTGCCCTCATACAGCTTCTTCCCCAGGTCGTTCCACATCACCGCCAGCACCATAATCGCCTCACCTGACCATCTCCCTACTATCTTCACTCTACATAACCGCATTCCACCCAATCGAGTGAGCGTGCCCTCATACAGTCATCTTGCCCTCATCCACCTTGACCACAGCCTCATCCACCTTGACCAAACCAACCCGGTTGCAGCCAACCACCCACCCAACCGAAGCAAAATCCACTCCTCCGTTCCCTCCAGTGCAACCCCGTTCCCCCAACCCACCTTGTAGACGACAGCAGCGATGTTGCGCGTGAGAGTGCCCTCATACAGCTTCTTCCCCAGGTCGTTGCGCATCACTGCAAGCATCATCTTTGCCGCCGTCCCGCCCGTCACCACGCTCAGCGGGTACCACCGGTTCACCTGCGAGCGAGTGTGTTGGGAGAGGGAACGAATCGGCGAAGGGTAATTGTAAGGCGCGAGAAGAGCGTCACCACGCTCAGCGGGTACCACCGGTTCAACTGTGAGAGAGCGCGTTTCAAAAACGGAGAAGAACTGTCTCGAAGGGTACCACAGGAACAAACGCGTGCTAGCCCACGTCAGCTCTCCGTACGAAAAAAAGAGAGGGTAAGACAGCTTGCGATTGGCTAGTAACGAAACCTTTTCCTGAAAAGATGACCATACGGCCGATGTGATTCGGGACGAAACGGACAACAAGTTGGAGAACTCGACAGTTCCGTCTATGAACCTAACGCGGCTCTGAAACGGTCAGATATTCAGCTGGAGCAGAGACAAACTTGGGCTGTAACAATCTCGTCTCAGTGACACTATCTGTAAATTGCACCGAATGGCTTACGTATGACTGACCCACCAAACCCTAAGCTCGCATCGCGTGGGTAGAGGACTATGATTTATCCTGTAAAAACGCGTCCTTACTACCGAACAGCAGGAGCAGCAACCACCGCGAATGCACTCTCGCAGAGACCGCGCTGGTCTTGGTGAAGGGGAGGACGCGGGATATGTCGACTGCAATTAGACTCGTCAGTCAAGCGCCATGCCGAGTGGAGAAAAAAAATCAGGAGGACCAATTTAGCGTGACACACTGTCGCACTGACCGCTTTAGTCTTGATGAAGAGGACGAAGCGGGGGGTGTCGTCTGACGGGTCGAATTCTGGAGGAGTGGGCTGCTGCTGTTGTCTTCTCGCGTAGTTCTGGTTGCTCTTCTTCCCCTTGGCCTCCACCACCAACCTGCAACCCCAATTCCATTCCACTTTTCGATTATAATTCCAGTCAAAAATAGTGATTCCAGATTTTTAGCGATACACAGTACGTACCCAAAACGAAGGATGCTCTTTTTCTGCTTATGTATTTTCACATAAAATATTGATATCGATACAAACAAGATAAGGATTTTAGGCGTCGGACGGAATAAGGCAGGGGGAGTAGTCGCAGCGCACCTGCTATGCTGCCGGCCTGCGGTCCGGGAAGCGTCCTGGCGGGGTCTCAAGGCGAGCGACGTGGACGACGTGCACGACGACGACGACAGCTTCGATGCTGTCGCCACGCCGAGACCCGCCGCCCGGACACTGCGCATTAAGATTTAAACCACGGAGGAATCGGAATGTATGTAGTGGCAGCTCAGAGGAATAATGAGACTAGTGAAAGCATCTGGAAATACTACTCGTGAAGACATGTACCGGGTACTCTACGAGAAGTGTTACCTGGACGCGCTGCAATTGGTCAAGGCAGCCATTCTGGACGTCCCAGGCCTATGCGATCGGAGGACAAGCTTCGCTGTCGCTGCGAGAACTTAGCCGTGTGGACGAAGCCAGGAATAGGGAGCCACTGATGCAATTTTGATAAAAGATTTGAGGCGAAGAAGAAGCTTATAACAAGTTAGGATGGAGCCCAGAGGCGGAAGACCGTAATCCAGATTCTGGTACACACGTGGAGGTAAGATTTGTGAGGCGTCGCGTGGCGAAACCTCCTGCACCCGAGGAGAGACGACGCTGGCGAAGCATCGCGTGGTCGTTTAGGTGGACTCGTGGCACGGTCTTCGCCACCAAGTAAAGGCTAACGAAGAATGGTAACTCAAACCAAGCAATGATCTGCTATGGGGCTCGCTCTCTAGACAGGGGGATTTGCCACGACATGCGCCGCTTGATGGATGGCATGGGGTGGTCTGCCACAATTCGTCGAAGAGCTTGAACATCCTGAACAACCAATGAGGACTTGTCAAAACTGGATTGCTGATGTGTCATAGAAGCTTCGTCTCGATATTAGGTGCCCAGATGCGCTGGAAACTTCTAAGTCGCTATAATTAATTAACACTTATTGTAAGACTCTATACAAACGTTGAGATTAGTTTTGCAGAACAGGTGATTGACACGTTGTCAGTCAACATTTACTGTACTCGGCGGGAAGTACCACTGCGCCTTGAACTGTACGACTCCAAACGCGGCTTCGCGCCAACAGACAGGGCGGTGTTCTGTTGCCGCACCACTTGATGCGGGGGCGGACAGGACAGCACCGCATCACATGGTCCACCATCAGGAACTTCCGCGAAACAACAGACCCGGTTGGTGCAACGCAGCCTCCTGCCGCACCACTTGATGCGGTGCCTTGGCCCAGTTCTGTTGCCCAGCGGTAAATGGAGGGCGGACAGCCCAGCACAGCACCACTGGTGCGGCCGGGTGCTTCCGCGAAGCCAAGAACCACCCACGTTGATGCGATTCAGCTTCCTGCCACCCTCCGCGCAACTGGAGGAGCTTCGTAAAAGTTTTGCTTTGCTGACCGCTAAAATGTTTTCCGCGACGATAATTGGTGGGTTTGGAGAAATACAGCCAACCAGTACCAAAAATAATTCTCGTCACCAATGGGACATTGCCCTCCCCCGTAACGTGTTTTTTTCGGGGCATTTATCCCTGCCCGAAACTACTTGTGCTGTCCCTGGGTCCGCGATTCGAGCGGGAACCAGTCTCGCACCAGTCTCGCACCCAGTCTGCCTGGGATGAGGGGACAGCACAGCACTACTGGTTCAGCGTTCTTTTGCGCTTGGTAGGCCGCACAGCACAGCACAGCACTGGCAAGGTTCGGGAGAGAGTTCAAAGTCCCGAGCCTGATTCAAGGAATGCACCCTTGGAATGGAATCTTCGAGGATCACCGGTAGAGGCCCTCACGAAGCATCATCGAGTGCTGTGCGGAGGGGTCCGCACCAGTAGTGCGGCAACAGAACTGGGCCCTTGATCCCCCCTCTGACCCTGAACCAGGCCCGCACCAGTCCCGCACCCATTTTGCCTGAGAGTGGGGGATTACGAGTGCGTCAGTGGTTCACCGTTCTTTTGGGCGGACGGACTGCACTGCACTCGTTAGGTCCGGGAAGAGGTTCAGTTTCCCGAGCCTAGAATCAAGGAATACGCCCTCATAAATGAAGCTCGCAGGATCTCCGGTGGAACCCCGGAAGAAGCATCAATCTGGTGCAGTGCGGAGGGGTCCGCACCAAGTGGTGCGGCAACAGAACAGGGCCCAGGTGTTCACCGGACCATCTGACAGAAATTATGACCGTCACAGCTTTCCCCAACTCAGGCCTAGATGTCATCTGCTTCCCGTCGTCGCAAATCGGGGAAAAGGCATCACACGAAACCAGGGTAACTCAGATACGACATGAGCGAAACGGGGCCAACAGGTTCGGCCTTTAGATTTCATTCACGAATCACCATCCCCCCAGGCCTACCATGTGTGAGCTGCTCTGCTGCAGAGCAGAACCAGAAGAATCCCTCTTCCAGCATATTGGGAGGACAATTCACGCACTGTACCACCCTTCGGACTGCACCTTGGGATTTACCACAGGATTTCACCTCCATCACTCTCAGGATTTCCGTTGTCCGCTAATAAGGCGTGCTAAATTAGTAGTTTCCCTCGTCTTCCCTGAACTGTCTCTTGCAAAGCTTCCGTCATTTTGCGGACCTCCTTACGTTACGCCATGAAGATCCCGCAGAAGATTCAGGCGGCATTAGATGAGGGAAGGAAGGTATTCTCGTTCGAGTACTTTCCTCCCAAGACCGCTGATGGCGTGGAGAATCTCTTCGATCGTATGGATCGCATGGTCGCGTACCAGCCTGCGTTCTGCGACATCACGTGGGGAGCAGGCGGATCGACGGCGGATCTCACCTTAGAGATCGCCACTCGCATGCAGAACAATGTCAGTGCCTGAATAGCCGAACGTTTCGAGTTGTCTCAAAACACGACTCACGTTCTGAGTCAGCTCAAAACATCGACGGCGGATCTCACCTTAGAAATCGCCACTCGCATGGAGAACAATGCTAGTGCCTGAATAGCCGAACGTTTTCTTTCGAGATATTAGTCTCTTCATTTCAGGCTAACGTACTTAAACGATTTGTTTAACTTCCGTATTTCCGTCGTGCTCCTGTCCATGTCCTCACATCACGACGTCAATCTCGAGTACAGATTTAGTGTAACCTGTTCCTGTAAACCGTCTTTCAGGCCTCTCAAACATCTGATTCTTTCACATGGTCCCCTCAGCCATGCCAAACATCCTTCCCGCAGCTTTGCGGGAAGACGATGATGCATCCGACCGGCACCACCTTGCAATCTAAATTCGCAAGTTCGAGACGTCACAGAAAGTTTTAATCTCACATCGCATTTGCGTGCATCATCTCTCATGGCTTCCCTGCAGATCTGCATGGAGACGTCGATGCACCTGATTTGCACCAACATGCCCGTGAAATGGTTTCAGGAATGTCTTCATCACCGTTTCCATGTTACATTTCCGTCCTCTCACCCTACTCCCATCCCACCCCCTTTCAGATCTGCGTGGAGACGTCGATGCACCTGACGTGGACCAACATGCCCGTGGAGCAGATCGACCAGGCGCTAGAGCACATAAAGATTTGACTTATAAAACTCTTTTCCCTCATCCCCCTCGACCTTTCTTTCCCCTCCCCTCTACTCTCTCTGCAGATCTGCGTGGAGACGTCGATGCATATGACGTGCACCAACATGCCCGTGGAGCGCATCGACCACGCGCTCCTTTGTCCCTTAACCTCCCCCTCTCCCCCCCCTCCAACCACTCCCCGTCTCTCTCCCCATCTACCCTCACCGTAGATCTGCGTGGAGACGTCGATGCATCTGACGTGCACCAACATGCCCGTGGAGCGCATCGACCACGCGCTGGAGCACATCAAGGGTTGATTCATAACACTCTTCTCCCTCGTGTGTCCCTCAACCCCTCTTCCCCCTCTTCACCACAGATCTGCGTGGAGACGTCGATGCATCTGACGTGCACCAACATGCCCGTGGAGCGCATCGACCACGCGCTGGAGCACATCAAGGCCGCCGGGCTGCAGAACGTGCTCGCGCTGCGCGGCGACCCCCCGCACGGCCAGGACAAGTTCGTCGCGGCGGAGGGCGGCTTCTCTTGCGCGCTCGACTTGGTAAGATTGGACTGTCAGAACTGGTAGAACTGGTAGAAGCTCAAAAGCGCGACCCCTCGCGCGGCCAGGACAAGTTCGTCGCCGCCGAGGGTGGCTTCTCATGCGCGCTCGACCTGTTAAGCTTGAGGTTCAATCATTCATGCGACGTCACGCTGACTATATAATCTTTGCGTATATCCTGGGCTGTAATCCTTATTGTGATACTTTCCGTCCACGGTTGTATCCCACCTTTTGTCCTGGTTTTTGTGCGACAGTGTGTGTGCTACCGTCCTTGCTCCGTCTGTGCGACGATAGGTTGCGAATTATGTCATTTTTCTCCTTCTCACCGCACTCACTGGCATGCCATTCCTGTTGTCTTTCTCTGCCCTCTCCCGCGTCTTGCCTTTCCCGCGCCTTGCTTCTCCTGCCTCGTTTCCTTGCTGCAGGTGAAGCACATTCGCGCCAAGTATGGCGACTATTTCGGAATCACGGTTGCTGGATATCCAGGTGAGATAAGGACTGGAAGAAATTGACGAGAATTGACTCAAGTACTTCCAATACCGTCGTCCTAAACTGATAAGAAACGCGTTGCGTAGACGAAATGAATCGCACTCACGCATTTAGAGATTTCCTAACCCAACTGAACTCTTGCAATGCGGCCATAGTGTGCACACAGAATCCCATTTCGTCTTTTGAGTTGACCCAAATGTCAAGATTGCGTAGTCCAAACGACCTGAACCGCACTCACGTGAAACCCCATCTTCCCATTCCCTTGCACCCCTGCGATGCGGCCATGGTGTCCGCGTGTAATCGCAGAGGCGCATCCTGACGCCATCAGCGGCCCTGACGGTGCGACGCCAGAGGAGTATCAGAAGGACCTGGAGTACCTCAAGGCCAAGGTGCTGGGCAATGCGTGATGGGTGGGGAATACGTGATGGGTGGGCAATGCGTGATGGGTGGGGAATGCGTGATGGGTGGGGAATGCGCGATGGGTGGGGAATGCGTGATGGGTGGGGAATGCGCGATGGGTGGGGAATGCGTGATGGGTGGGGAATGCGCGATGGGAGGGGAATGCGTGATGGGTGGGCAATGCGTGATGGGTGGGCAATGCGTGATGGGTAAATGATGGGTGCATGATGTATAGATGGCGCGCACTCCCATGTGTTTATAATTGACTCAGAAGTATATTAGAGGAGTATCAGAAGGACCTGGAGTACCTCAAGGCCAAGGTGCGGGCAATACGTGATGGGTGGGCAATGCGTGATGGGTGGGGAATGCGTGATGGGTGGGCAATGCGTGATGGGTGGGCAATGCGTGATGGGTGGGCAATGCGTGATGGGTGGGCAATGCGTGATGGGTGGGCAATGCGTGATGGGTGGGGAATGCGTGATGGGTGGGGAATGCGCGATGGGTGGGGAATGCGTGATGGGTGGGGAATGCGCGATGGGTGGGGAATGCGTGATGGGTGGGGAATGCGCGATGGGTGGGGAATGCGTGATGGGTGGGGAATGCGCGATGGGTGGGGAATGCGTGATGGGTGGGGAATGCGCGATGGGTGAATGATGGGTGCATGATGTATAGATGGCGCGCACTCCCGTGTGTTTATAATTGACTCAGAAGTATATTAGAGGAGTATCAGAAGGACCTTGAGTACCTCAAGGCCAAGGTAAGGTGGGGGGAAATACGTGATGGGGGGGGGGAATGCGTGATGGATGGATGAATATGTGCATGATAGATAGATGCCGCGCAGGCCCACGTCTTTTTAGTTGACTGTAAGGAATACCAGAGAAGTACCAGAAGGACCGGAGTGCCTCACGTTCAAGGTCGGGGGACATCCATGATGAGTGCATGATGATTGGCGCCTCAAGTCCAAGGTGGGGAAAATGCATGACAGGCGGATGGTGAATCAAGTTAAGTAGGGGGCAATGCATGATGGGTGGATAGGGCGTCACGCTCGAAATGGGCAGCACAAACGCATGACAGAGTGTATGACGGATGGACGGTGTGCACCCTCACGTTCCTGCTGAGGTGAGGTTGACTTAAAACAAGTACCAGCAGTGGTGTTCGCCCTCCCTCATTCCCGTCTCTCTACTTCCGTCCTACTCTCCTTTCCCCTCGACCCTCTTCATCCCCCCTTGCCTCACCCCCTTAAACCCTTTACCCGCCCCACCCATCCCTGTCCCTCCCTGCCCTCCCTTAAACCTTAAACCCTCTTGCAGATGGACGCGGGCGCGGACCTGATAGTGACGCAGCTGTTCTACGACGTGGACATCTTCCTCAAGTTCGTGTTGCTCTGCCCCATTGCCCTCTCCCCTTCAAACCTGTTGCTGCTCTGTGTCACTCCCAGATGGATGCAGGCGCGGACTTGATTGTCACGCAGCTGTTCTACGACGTGGACATCTTCCTCAAGTTCGTCGCGGACTGCCGTGCCATGGGAGTGAGCGAGCCCATCATCCCGGGCATCATGCCCATCACCACGTACGGCGGCTTCAAGCGCATGACCGCCTTCTGCAAGACCAAGGTGTGTGTGCGAGTGGTGTTTGTGAGTGAGTGAGTGAGTGAGTGATGGAGTGAGTGAGTGGGAGTGAGTGAGTGTGAATGAGGGAGTGGGAGTGAGTGAGTGTGAATGAGTGGGAGTGGGACTGCCGCGCCATGGGAGTGAGCGAGCCCATCATCCCGGGCATCATGCCCATCACCACGTACGGCGGCTTCAAGCGCATGACCGCCTTCTGCAAGACCAAGGCGAGTCCCCGCGCCCTCTCTGCGCGCATGTGTGGGGAGGTAGTAGGAGGAGCGAGTTTGTGGATTCGTATGTGTGAAGAGAGAGAACAAGAGTGTTTGTGTGTATGATACCCGGAACCCTGGGTTTAAAGTAGGGCGAAAGACAGGTATTGACGCTTCTCCCCCTCTCATCACTTTCTCCAACCCTCTTTTACCGTCCCCCCGTTACAGGTCCCCCAGAGCATTCTGGACGCGTTGGAGCCGATAAAGGATAACGAGGAGGCTGTTAGGGCGTACGGCATCCAACAAGGCACGGAGGTGTGCCGGCGCATCCTGGATGCAGGCATCCACACCCTGCACATGTACACGCTCAACCAGGACAAGACCACCATCGCCATCCTCAAGGTGGGGTGCTGTTGGGGATAGCTTGGGTGCATGGCTTTTCATAAATGACCCATATGTGCTGGCATCTCAACCCTCCACATCTAAACCCTAACCCAGGACAAGTCCACCATCGCCATTCTGAAGGTGAGATTGGGTTGGGTGGGTAGCTTGGGTGGATGACTCGCACGTGCATCTTGGGTGGGCGCTACATACATGCCATCCTGGATGCAGGCATCTCCACCCTGCACATGTACACGCTCAACCAGGACAAGACCACCATCGCCATCCTCAAGGTGAGGTTGTGTCGGAGGGTTGCTTCGAGGATGCGTGTGAGAAATTTGAGCAATCGGGAGTCTCTACCAGAGCAAGATCAGGTGGCTTAGGTGCATGGCTTGGGTGTGTGGCATGGTGTAAATATCCTATCTTATCCCCCAACTCACTGAATCTCCTACCTCCCCCCTCCCCTCTCCCCCTCAGAACCTGGGTCTGATAGAGGCGTCCAACATCCCTCATGTGTTGCCGTGGCAGCCAGCCAATCCCAGTATATCTTGCACAATCCCCATCCCGTCCTCTCTCCTCCCTCCTCTCTCCTCCTCCTCCCTCCTCATCCCCATCAGAACCTGGGACTGATAGAGGCGTCCAACATCCCTCGTGCGCTGCCCTGGCAGCCAGCCGATCCCAGTCAATTCTCACTGTATTCCGTCCCGTCCTCCCTCCTCCCTCCTACCACCTCCCCTTCCCCTTACATCCCCTCCTCGCCTCTCTCCCATCAGAACCTGGGGCTCATAGAGGCGTCCAACATCCCTCGTGCGCTGCCGTGGCGGCCAGCCACTAACATCGTCCGATGCACAGAGGACGTGCGCCCCATCTACTGGTGAGAGCAGTTGACGCAGTCAGGAGGCGTGTGGTGGTGAGATCGCTTGGCAATGTCAGGAGGCATGTACTGGGTAGGGCACTGTGTCTTTTGAGTCGACTCAAAGTACACCTCAACAGGTCTCTGTGCCAAGTGCTACCTTGTGCGCTTGGCAGCATGGACCAAGTTCCCCTCTGGCCTGTTGGGGGAACTCACAAACGCGACACACATGTACCAGCCTATACCCACCTGCACCCATCCAAAACCAAACCCAACCGTGTTCCACCCCTCGCAGGTCCCTGCGCCCCAAGAGCTACCTGGCACGCACGGCAGTGTGGAACAATGTCTTCTCTGGCCGCCTGAGACCTGCAGAGGCTCTGTACCCATCCGTACCCACCCCATACCCACCTGTACCCACCCCACACCCATCCTTATTTACCCCATACCGATCCCAACCGCACTCCACCACTCACAGGTCCCTGCGCCCCAAGAGCTACCTGGCGTGCATGGCAGCGTGGACCAAGTTCCCCTCTGGCCGCCTGGGGCCTGCAGAGGCGCTGTACCTATCCTACCCACCCCATACCCATCCCTACCCTCCCCATACCCATCCCAACCGCACTCCACCGCTTGCAGGTCCCTGCGCCCCAAGAGCTACCTGGCGCGCACGGCAGCGTGGACCAAGTTCCCCTCTGGGCGCCTGGGGCCAGCAGAGGCGCTGTCGTACAGCGACCTGCCCGCCAAGCACAGGGCTTTCCTCAAGAGGAAGTCGCGGGCCACTGCTCTTGCCAGGGACTGGGCTGTGCCTGTTGCGTCGACAGAGGACGTGAAGCAGGTGAGAGGGGTGAGGGGTGGCGCAGGGGAGAAACGAAAGGCTCGTTGTAGGGGTGGGAGGTGAAGCAGGAGGTGTGAATACCACCCTGGACGTATGTCAGGCTTTGCCCTCATCACTCGTCCCTGCATGTCTTCGCTTTGTGAGTGGCGAGGAGGCCAGCTGCTCTCTTGGAACGAGGCGGGCAGTGGAAACCTCTCTCTCCCGGGACTCGGCCAGCACGTTCTCTTGTCTCTTGAGGCGCCTCAAAAGTCGTCTCTTTTGAGGCGCCTCCAAAGTCGTCTCTTATCCCGCAATCTTGAGGCGCCTCTAAACCTCTCTCTCCCCGGACTCAGCCAGCACGTCCTCTTGTCGCTCATCCTCTCCTTCCCCCACTTCCTCCCCTTCTCTCCCTCTCCCCCTCCCCTGCAGCTCTTTGCTCGGTTTGTGAGTGGCGAGGTGAGCATCTTTTCCTGGAGCGAGGTGGTGGAAGAATCTCCCTTTTCCTTTCATGAATCATCAACTCTGCTTCTCCTTCCCCCTCTCCCTCCCCTTCCACGACCCCCCATCCTCTCCAGCTCTTTGCTCGGTTTGTGAGTGGCGAGGTGAGCAGCTTCCCCTGGAGCGAAGCGGTGGAGGAATCTCCCTTTTCCTTTCATGAATCATCAACTCTGCTTCTCCTTCCCCCTCTCCCTCCCCTTCTCTCCCTCTCCCCCTCCCCGGCAGCTCTTTGCTCGGTTTGTGAGTGGCGAGGTGAGCAGCTTCCCCTGGAGTGAGGCAGTGGAGGCCTCCCTCTCTGCGGATTCGGCTCCCATCAGCGCTCAGCTGCAGGAGCTGAACGCGGCTGGGCTGCTCACCATCAACAGCCAGCCTGCTGTCAACGGCGCCAAGTCCGACGACCCTGTTCTCGGTGAGTGTGCTGAGACTGTAGCAAAATTCCTTGTAGAGCAAGGCGTCTCAGAAACAGAGACCTCCCTCTCCCTCTGTCAACTCGCCCGGCCACGTGCTTGCCACCGGCCCCAATGACCATATTTGAGTCGACTCTCCCTCCTTGCGCTCCCACCTCGCGCTCCCCTTCCGCCCCTCCCTGTGTTCCTCCCCTGGTGGCCATGCAGGCTGGGGAGGCCCCGGGGGGTACATCTACCAGAAGGCTTATGTGGAGTGCTTCGCCCCACACGACAAGGTCACTACTCTCCTCGAGAAGGCCAAGGCCACGCCCTCCATCTCCCTCATGGCCGTCAACTCGCAAGGCCACGTGCTCGCCACCGGCCCCGGCACGCCCGCGTCCACCACGCCGTTCTCGGCAAACGCGGTCACGTGGGGGGTGTTTCCGGGGAGAGAGGTGGTGCAGCCGACAGTGGCGGATTTCATGTCGTTCCTGGCGTGGAAGGAAGAGGCGTTTGGCGCGTGGGTGGACGACTGGGCGGGGCTTTACAAGGAGGACGATGAGGAGGGCACACCGGTGGCCAAGAAACTGCTCCAAGAGGTGAGGGGGGGATAGGTGAATGGGGTGGGAGCCGAATGGCTTTAACAGGTGAGGGACGGTTGAATGAGGTGAGAAGGGGTGTGGATGTGGTCTAGGGTGGGGCGTTTAGAGTGAAAGAACTAAGGTAAGGGAGGGAGGTAGAGCGAGGGCAAGGGAGGGAGGTGGTGCAGCCGACGGTGGCGGATTTCATGTCGTTTCTGGCGTGGAAGGAGGAGGCGTTTGGTGTGGGGGTGGATGACTGGGCTGGGCTTTACAAGGAGGACGATGAGGAGGGCACACCGGTCGCGAGGAAGCTGCTGCAGGAGGTGAGGAACGGTTCAAGGAGGTGAGAGTGGGTGGGGGTATGTAAGGAGAAATACGTGGGCTCGCCGATGTTGAGGAATCTGCTGTGGGAGATGGGGATCGGTTGAAGCAGGTGAGAAGGGGTGGTGGGGGTGCTACGAGGTAACATGAGACGACAGGAGGTGAGATGAGGAGATATAGGTGTGATTTGTATTGTGTGATGGGTTCTAAATTGCTAGTCTTGCGGTGTTGGGTTATTCCTTCAATGCCTTTTCCGGTAATTTGCTCTGTTTTGAATTTGCCTTTCCTGCGCAGATCCATGACACATACTACCTTGTCAGCGTCGTTGACAACGATTACGTCAACGGTGACATCTTCGCGCTTTTCGCTGGAATTTGACTGAAGATGGCTTTGGGTTGAAATTATGGTTCTTAAATTTTGCCACATTTTGTGGTTTATAGACTAGATAGGGAAGGTATCAAAGTGATGATGTTGGAATAGCCAGGCTCAAAGTTATTAGTAATCGTCTTAAGTTCAGTAGTTCATCATTTGTGCGTTGCTGTGCGGTTAGGTGCGATTGTCTCCCATACCCACCTGGAGCGGTCAGTCTTCCCTTTCGGAGCGCGTCCCGGCATATTCTAGGCTAAATTACAGTAGATGCACTGCAGAAGATATTTTCTCTTCTATGGATAGCCTTTTGTCCCTTCTGTCGATGGCGGAACTGGTTCTTTATTTCACTAGCGTAGACCAGAAATAGTTCTCCCTTGCTCCTGCCTTTGCTGCTGCGTATCCCGAGTGGTTCCCGTGGCTTGCTGTTTTACGTGTATAGCATGAAACGGTAGCTAGCCGTTTTCCTCTCTGCCTGTGACGAGCTTACACGTGGACGGTCGCGAAAAACGCGCCAATGGCGTCGCGGCTAGCCCAAACGGCTCGTTCTCACGGTTCTCCCGCTCTTCGGCTCTTCACAAGGAAATTCTCGCTCCACTCGCTTGGCCAATCAGAACCAGCTCTGGGACCTTATACAGGAATCTCTTGTACAGGAGCTCCTTATACCGGAGATTCTTATACAGGGGTGGATGTGGACGTTCTTTCAGAGTCCCCTCCCCAAGAATATCGAGGTGGTGAGCGCGGCTCGGCGCGCTTTGAAGGATTAAGCAGGAGCGGCATCACCTGCAATAGGAGCGCTAGTAGCACCGGCATCTCCGGGGGCATTTGCGGCGGAATTTCCGGCGGGATTTCCGGTGGTCATGCGACGGGCGCGAGGCTGATAAACACGCGCGCGCACGCGCCGCCGCCGGTTTTTACGGGCGAGCAGTGGACGACGGCGCACGCGTTCACGGCTGCTGAGGTGGCAGCGTTCGCGCACATGACGGGCGATTTAAATCCCATCCACCTCGACGCGCGCGCGGCGGAAGCGGCGGGATTCGCGGAGTGCGTGGTGCAAGGGATCCTGGCAGCCAGCCTGTTTCCCGCCCTGATCGCGAAACACCATGTACGTTGGTTTCTTGCTCGTGTCTGTTTGATACTCTCATCGCCTGCATCAAAGCTCGGATGCGGCGGGATTCGCGGAGTGCGTGGTTTCATGGGATTTTGGCGGCAAGCTTGTTTCCTGCTTGGATCTCGTAGCACACAGCCTAGGTTTCAGGCTGGGGATGAGGAGAGATAAGCCTCACAACCCCTCCCCCCACACACCACCCAACGAAACCCCCACCAACACCCCATCCGTCCGCCCCCCAACCTTCGCCTCCCCTCCCTCGCCCCTCCCCTTCACGCGCGGCAGCCAGGTGCCATCTACGTGGTGCAAACGCTGCACGTCCTGGCGCCCGTGCATGTGGGCGAGCAGGTTAGCGAACAGGCGAGCAGCTCACAGCCACGCAGCATGCCATGCAACCCCAACCCCCCTCAAACAAACCCCCGAGACACCACCACCCACCACACTTCTCCCCTTCCTTACACCTGACAGCCAGGTGCCATCTACGTGCCGCAGAGGCTGCGTGTCCTGGCCCCCGTGCATGTGGGCGAGCAGGTGAGCAGCTCACCCCATGCAGCAACCCCACCCCCCTCCAACCCCCCACCCACCTTCCCTTTTCCCCCATGCCCTTCAGCCAGGTGCCATCTACGTGTCTCAGACGCTGCGCTTCCTGGCTCCCGTGCGTGTGGGTGAGCAGGTGAACAGCTTCAGGCAACACAGCAACCCCACCCTTCTCCAACCCTCCTCCAACCTCCCTCCAACACCCCTGTCCCTCTTCCCCATGCCCTTCAGCCCGGTGCCATCTACGTGTCTCCGACACTACGCTTCCTGGCAGCCCGCGCACGTGGGGCGAGCAGTTGGTGGCACAGACCGACCGACCACCCTCCAACACTCCACCCGCCCCGTCTCCCACCCCCCCTCTTTTACACCTGACAGCCAGGTGCCATTTACGTGTCGCAGACGCTGCGCTTCCTGGCGCCCGTGCACGTGGGCGAGCAGGTGACGGCGAGTGTGGAAGCAATTTCAGTCGTGGCGCACCGGCACAGGTTCAGGTGGGTGTGTGTGTGTGTGAAAAGGAGGGAGGATTGCTTTTGTGCTGCTCCGTGCACGTGGGCAAGCAGGTGACGGCGAGTGTGGAAGCAATTTCAGTGGTGGCACACCGACACAGATTCAGGTGGGGTTTAGGTGTGTGAAACGGGTTCTGTGTGGCTGTGTGGCTGTGAGTGAGGGTCTGTATGTATGTGTTGCACTGTGCACGAGGGCGAGCAGGTGACAGCGACGTTAAAGCCATATCAGTGGTGGCGCACCGGCACAGGTTCAGGTGGTTGGTTTCTGTGTGTGTGAGGAGGGGGGGTTGCATCGGCGCTGCCCCGTGCATTTGGGCGACCAGGTGCATTTGGGCCACAGTGGAGGCGATTTCAGTGGCGGCGCACCGACACACATTCAGGTGTGTGTGAGAGAGAGGGTGCGCGTGTGTGTGGCTGTGAGTGAGGGTCTGTGTGCGCGCAGCTGTGCATGTGGGCGAGCAGGTGACAGCGAGTGTAGAAGCCCATGTCTGTAGTGGCGCATACCGGCACCAATTCAGGTGTGTGAGAGAGGGGGTGAGTGTGTGGCTGTGAGTGATGGTCTGTTTGTGTGCGTGTGCGTGGCTGTGCACGTGGGCGAGCAGGTGACTGCCATGCCACAGTGAAGCCCATCTCAGAGGTGGCATACCGACACACTGGTTCAGGTATGTGTGTGCAGGTCTTTGTGTGTGCGGGTCTTTGTGTGTGCGGGTCTTTGTGTGTGCGGGTCTTTGTGTGTGCGGGTCTTTGTGTGTGCAGGTCTTTGTGTGTGCGGGTCTTTGTGTGTGCGGGTCTTTGTGTGTGCGGGTCTTTGTGTGTGCGTGTCTTTGTGTGTGCAGGTCTTTGTGTGTGCGGGTCTTTGTGTCTGCCGGTCTTTGTGTGTGCAGGTCTTTGTGTGTGCGGGTCTTTGTGTGTGCAGGTCTTTGTGTGTGCGGGTCTTTGTGTGTGCGGGTCTTTGTGTGTGCGGGTCTTTGTGTGTGCGGGTCTTTGTGTGTGCGGGTCTTTGTGTGTGCGGGTCTTTGTGTGTGCATGTCTTTGTGTGTGCGGGTCTTTGTGTGTGCGGGTCTTTGTGTGTGCGGGTCTTTGTGTGTGTGGGTCTTTGTGTGTGCGGGTCTTTGTGTGTGCCGGTCTTTGTGTGTGCAGGTCTTTGTGTGTGCGGGTCTTTGTGTGTGCGGGTCTTTGTGTGTGCGGGTCTTTGTGTGTGCGGGTCTTTGTGTGTGCGGGTCTTTGTGTGTGCGGGTCTTTGTGTGTGCGGGTCTTTGTGTGTGCATGTCTTTGTGTGTGCGGGTCTTTGTGTGTGCGGGTCTTTGTGTGTGCGGGTCTTTGTGTGTGCGGGTCTTTGTGTGTGCGGGTCTTTGTGTGTGCAGGTCTTTGTGTGTGCAGGTCTTCGCACACCCCTTCCTTTATTCCCTCCCCCGTGCCTTTCCCCATCTCCCGTCCCCATCCTCCACACCTCCACAAGGGTCACGTTTGCATCAGGCATTCAAAGCATCTTCCCATGACTTTCCCCATACCTTCCCCTTACCCCATCCCCATCCCACACCTCCTCAGAGTCACATTCGCATCCAAGGCATTCAAAGCATCTTCGCTCACACCTTCCTTTATGCCTTACCCGCATGCCGTCCCCCATACCCCATCCCCATCCCCATCCCCATCCCACACCTCCTCAGAGTCACATTTGCATCGAAGGCATTCAAAACGCCGTGTGTCACACCCGTAGCAGAAGCCAATGCAATGGCCCTCCTTTCGCCTTTCCCCATGCCACCCCCATTTCCAATCCCCACCCCCCATGCCCCACACCTCCTCAGGGTCACATTCGCATCCAAGGCATTCAAAACGCCGCGTGTCACACCAGCAGCAGCAGCGGATGCGTCAACATCAGGGGATGTAAGCCCCCCCCGGCCTGTGCTGGCATTAGATGGCATTGCAGTCGCCATCATCCCCCCTCTCAACAGAGACCCACCCAAACCCATGGAGTGTAGAGACGACTTGTTGCGTACTGGTTTGCAATCACTGTAGAGTAGCATTGGGGGCAGTGGTGGGTCAGTGGCCGCACCTTAAAGTTTTGAGACGTCTCAGAAATCAGCGGCAGTGGTGGGTCAGTGGCCGCACCTTTCGCCCGGTGCTGGCATTAGATGGCATTGCTGTCGCCGTCCCATTCCTATCAGCAGAGTCCCACCCAACCCCATGTGACGTGTTGACTGGTACACTCTTTAGTAAAGCAGCCCAATGAAGTCGCATTGTGAGCAGCTGTGGTGCTGCATCCGGTGCTGGCGCTGGATGGCATTGCATTGCCGTCGCTATCATTCCTCCTCTCAACAGAGTGTCAGAGACCCTCCCAACCCCATGGAGTGACGTATTGACGCCACCGCCGGTTAGCAACCCAATGCAGTAGCATCTGTAGCATGGGGGGTTGTCGAGCAAGGTAGTTTAGAGGTACCTAGGTAGAATTGATGGTCGATGGATAACTATGCCCTAATGCTGGCATGATCTAGTGAGATGCTTCTCTGTTGGACACATGGGATGAGGACGCGGTAAAAGTGCCCATTTTGAAGGATCGCGTCCGAATATCGAATCTCAGAATCGCTATGGGGAATCGATCGGCGAAACGGTGCATGACCGTTGATTTAACGATCGACGAACTACATCTTACAACTGCGGAATCGCATTGGAGGATGTTGGCGCCCAAGATTTTAGTATTGCGTACAAGCACTGCTGCGACTCTCGCGATTACACGGCAACCAGCCTGGCAAAACAATTTTTCATGCTAGAGACCAGGCCCTCAGATTCATTTTGGGCCACACTTTCTCATCTGTGTTGGTCCAAAAAAAAAAACTTTCTGTCAGGGTCGTTACAAAAATAAACCCTGAAAAATCAGTGTTGTCACATACAAAAAAAACTTTCTTATCAGGGCTGGTACATTTTTTAACGCTGATGTAACCAGCCTTCATCATAATGTGACGGGAACGGGGGGAGGGAGACAGTGGTGGTGCAGCAATGGTGGTCCAGGTTAGGCAATCGCGTGTGCTAAAGGTCTCTGTTTTGTCACGTTCAAATCAAACATACGAGACAAAATCAGACAAGCGCTCGCAAGCAACAGTCGGGAATGTGTCAAATTACAATTGTATCTCTAGGCTACAGTAGGGTCACTCCTTAGTGAGTACAACACTTAAGGGTTAGGTTTCCCCTACTTGTACTCACCTCTTGCCTAGTTCACTCATTCATTCCTACTTATTCTAACATGGTATTAGAGCAGAATCGTTCCTAGGGCCCACCGAACGTTCCGCCCTGCCCTAACCGTAAAATTTTCTTCCTACGCTGCCCCTGCACCCGCGCTGCCCTTGCAGCCCGCGTGCTGCCCCTGCGACCGCGCTGCCCCTGCAGCCGTGCTCGCCCCTGCGACCGTGCTGCCCCTGCAGCCGTACTCGCCCCTGCGACCGTGCTGCCCCTGCAGCCGTGCCTGCCCCTGCGACCGTGCTGCCCCTGCAGCCGTGCCTGCCCCTGCGACCGTGCTGCCCCTGCAGCCCGCGAGTTCGCCCCTGCAGCCCGTGGGCGCTGCCTGTGCAGCCCGCGCGCCGCCCTGCCGAGTCGCGCGTTGCCCCTGCAGCACGTGGGCGCTGCCCCTGCAGCCCGTACGCCGCCCTGCAGAGCCGCGCGTCGCCCCTGCAGCCCGTACGCCGCCCTGCGGAGCCGCACGTCGCCCCTGCAGCCCGTGGGCGCTACCCCTGCAGCCCGCGCGCCGCCCTGCCGAACCGAGCGTCGCCCCTGCAGCCTGGGCGACGCCCTGCCGAGCCGCGCGCCGCCCCTACAGCCCGCGCGCCGCCCTGCCGAGCTGCGCGTGGCCCCTGCAGCCCGTGGGTGCTGCCCCTGCATCCCGCGCGCCGCCCTGCCGAGCCGCGCGTCGCCCCTGCAGCCCGTGGACAGAGCGCAACCCGAAAACCTTAAAAAAAAAAAAAAAAAAAAAAAAAAAAAAAAAAAAAAAAAAAAAAAAAAAAAAAAAAAAAAAAAAACTACTACTACTACTGCTGCTGCTACTCGTGCTACTGCTGCTGCTGGTGGAGGTGCTACTGGGAGTGCTGGAGGTGCTGCTGGTACTGGAGGTGCTGGACCTACTCCTGACCGTCGCTGTCTGTCATGGCCACTATCGCGGCAGTTGCTGCGACCAGGGGTGGACAGCAGCGGGCACTGCCTCTTCCGGACGACCCCACCCGTCAGCAGCTTCGTGAGTGGGTTGTTCAGCGAGCTGGTCCTGGTGGTGGAGGTTTTGGTTATACATGGCCTAAGCGACGTCGCGACTGTGCTTCTCAGCGATGCGTCCCTGGCTGTGTAGAGGTTCCTGCTCTCGGTTCTAGTGAGTCTGCTGCAGCTCTAGATGCCCGTGAGTCTGCCGATGCTCTAGGTGCTAGTGCGTCTACTGCCACAGGTCCTGCCTCAGCTGAGGTCTTGCACACTTTCACGCTTGACTCAGGTGCGTCACGTTGCTTCTTTCGTGATTGCACCACAGTCACACCACTCGCAGCACCTGTCCCAGTCTCACTGGCTGACCCCTCTGGGGCCCTTGTAGTTGCGAGAGCCTCCACGGTCCTCCCTTGTCCAGCAGTCCCCTCCGGCTCTCTGTCAGGTCTCCACCTCCCCACGTTCTCGACGAACTTGGTGAGCAACGCTGCCATTCAGGATGTCTGGGTTGATACCTTTATTCCTGGAGGGCAGCGTGTGGCGATCTGTACGTGCTCCCGGACTGGCCGTCACCTGGCTACGTTCACTCGACAGCCTGGGTCTTGTCTAACCACTGCGTCTGCACAGGTGGCTGAGTCACGTCAGGTTGCTGCGTCGAGTCGGGCGTCTGCGTCGGGGCAGTTAGCTGCGTCTTGCTCGTGCAGAGTACTCACGCACGAGACTCAGCGCTGGCACCACCGTCTTGGTCACCCCTCCCTGCAGCGTCTGCGCGTCATGCACTCCCGGATCCTGGTCTCTGGCCTCCCTGAGACCCTGCCCCCCCTCCCGCGCTCACTTGCGCCGCCGTGCCTTCCTTGCGTCGAGGGGCGGCAGCGCGCCGCTCCTCACTCCTCCGAGTTTCCTCCGACCACTGCTCCTCTGTAGACTCTCCACCTGGACGTGTGGGGCCCGGCCCCCGTCGGTGGGACGGACCTGGAGCGCTACTTCCTGCTGGTTGTTGACGACTACACACGCTACATCACAGTCTTCCCTTTGCGTCGCAAGGCGGACGTCAGCGGTGTCTTGAACCCCTGGATCCGTGCTACTCGTCTCCAGCTGCACGAGCGCTTTCAGCAGAACTTCCCAGTCATGCGTCTGCACTCTGACAGGGGTGGTGAGTTCTCCTCTGGCGTCCTTGAGACGTTCTGCCAGGATGAGGGCATCGCCCAGTCGTTCACGCTTCCGGCCTCTCCGCAGCAAAATGGGATCGCTGAGCGTCGCATTGGCCCCGTGTCTCTGCTCCAGAGACCTCGCCCACACTCCGTTGGACGGGACAGCCTGGTGATGCGTCGTCGTTTCGGGTCTGGGGCGCGCTCTCCCTTGTTCGCGATACCAAAGCGAGCAAGCTCTCTCCTCGCACTCTCCGCTGTGTCTTCCTGGGCTTCCCCACCGACGCTCCACCCTGGCAGTTCTACCACCCTGCCTCGCGTCGTGTTCTGTCCTCTCAGGACGTCACCTTCGACGAGTCGGTCTGTTACTACCGACTTCACCCACACGCGTCCCACCCGGTCCCCCTCGCGCCTCTCTTCCTGGTACCAGTCCCCCCCCCGATAGACCCCCTTCCCCCACAGGGTCCTGCTCCCTCAGGTGTGTCTCGGGTAGACCCACCCCCCTTGGATGAGCCAGTGGAGATCTCTTCTGACTCCTCTAACCCAGCTGAGGGGGGTGACACCGCCGCAGACGACACGGTGACCACTCGCCGCACTCCTCGCTTGGAGACCCCCCCGGGTTTCCCGCCTCGGCCATCTTCGCCACCTCCGCAGCCTGCTGCTGTGGACCCTGGAGCTGAGGCTGCTGGAGCAGGGCCTGGGAGTGGTACGTCTGGGGGTGACTGCTCTCCTCGTTTGGCTACCCTCCCCGGTTTCCCGCCTCTGCAGCCTTCTGCAGTGGACACTGGAGCTGAGACTGAGGGTACTGAGCCTGCGGGTGCTGGGACTGGGGGTACTGAGCTTGCGGGTGCTGGGACTGAGGGCACTGAGCCTGCGGGTGCTGGGACTGAGGGTACTGAGCCTGAGGGTACTGAGCCTGGGGGTACTGAGACTTTGGGTGCTGACTCTGGAGGTGCTGAGACTTCGGGTGCTGACTCTGGGGGTGCTGCGAGTCCTTCTGGAGGTCCTGGAGGTGGAGGTACTGGAGCTACTAGGCCTGGAGGTACTACTGGAGGTACTGGAGCTGCTGCTAGTGCTGGAGGTGCTGGAGCTGGAGGTACTAGAGGTGCTTCTGGTGCTGGAGGTGCTAGAGCTACCACTAATGGAGGTACTGGAGCTGGACAGCCACCGCAGCCTGCTCTACTTGAGACGCTCTCGCCGCAGGCGATTCGTGCGTGGGTCGTTCGACGAGGCAGTCCTGGTGGTGGAGGGTACGGTCCGGCTGGTGCTGGAGCTACTAGTCCAGGAGGTGCTGCTGGTGCTGGAGGTGCTGGAGGTACTACTGGAGGTACTAGAGGTACTGCTGGTGCTAGAGGTGCTGCTGGTGCTGGGGGTACTGGAGCTGCTGCTGGTGCTGGAGGTGCTGGAGGTGCTACTACTGGAGGTGCTGCCGGTACTGGAGGTCCTGGAGCTGGAGGTACTGGAGCTGCTGGTGCTGGAGGTACTCCTGTTACTGGAGGTGCTGGGGGTGCGGGAGTTGCTGGCCCCGGAGGTGCTCGTACTGGAGGTGCTGGAGCTGCCGGAGCAGGTGGTGCTGCTGGTGCTGGAGGTGTTGGAGTTTCTACTGGAGCTGGTGGCACAGGAGGTACTGGAGGTACTACTGGTGCTGGAGGCGCTGGAGCTGGAGCTGGAGGCACTGGAGGTGCTGGAGGTACT